ATGCGAAACATTCCAAAAAGAAGGGTAAGTATAGTATATCATGCTGAATAGCGAAATATTCTATTCTCTTGCTGCTATCGCGCGGGGTAGAGGGTCAAACAAAGTATATCCACGTGCAGAATGGGTTCGGTAGCTTCCTGACGATATCTTTGGAGAATAACTCTAACTCCAAACCCGGATAGATGGAGCTCGTTTAGTCTTGTAAGGTCATCCATTTAAGATAAGGATATTCGAGCGAAACCTAAGTCCTGAGGACTTCAGTGCCACCGTCCTAGCTTACTAGGCCTGACGGATAAACCTTAAGAGTACAGGGTCGGGTTAGTCCCACGCATACGAAAAATGGAATTAGTCCTAGCAGATAAACCTTAGGAGTAATGAATGGCCAGTTCTGCGCATACAAGAAATATTTACCTACAATAACAGAACACTAAAAACATAAGACAAACAAACACAATGCAAAATGAATGACATGAAGACTTGTAATATGACGGACAAAAATATTTAATTAAAAACTGCAAATAGAAATAGAACTGAAATGACGGAATCATTATAGAGGCATCAACAACTTGTTAAATTTTGACCTTCCGAGATCTCGAATTAACGAGAACATCCCAAATTTTTCAAACAAAAAAAAAAGAAAAAAAAACCAAAATCCCAACACATCCCCTATCTTCATTTAGCCCTCGTTTGGGTAGTTATGGCCGCATTATGAATGAACGATATCCCAATCTAAATATACGGCCTGGTATTTTTGGATACTCGGGGATAATGTATAATTTTTCATATGATCGGACAGATGAAGGGGGGGAGGGGAGGGAGGGATTCCTAAAAATTAATTGTTCAAGATGTCGCTGACTAGAATCCCGGGTTTCGTTCCTATCTGTTTAAAGCTTCAGGTCGGTCCACTAACTTTTAAATACTTTTTAAAATGTCTGACCAAACAACAGACATCAATCTTTCCACCCTCCGTTACATTTGTCCAATTAGATTTCAGATGCAATTGGAAGAGATACTCTCTTCTTCATTCCAAGAACATGGCAACGGTGAACCTCTCTCACTATCATTCCTGTCAATTTTTCCATAACCATTTTGCTATGCAAAATCACAGCAAACAAATCCTTACAGTGGAAGTTCCTGAAACAGCAAAGACACACATAAGGAGGAGAAAATTAAAGAACGAAAACCACATTTGTAATGTTAATTTTTGGTCATAGACCCTTTTTGTGTGATAGCTATAAACATATTTTTGTGAATTACATATTTCAAAGAGAGCAAAGAATGGGTAATAATGGATTAAGGATTAAGGATTAATTTTAATCCTTAATATTAATACCAACTACCCCTCTTTATGTACAAAGTTATTTCCTTTTCTTGTAGCTCTTTCAAGCATTACAGATTATTCACCCTTTTTTGACATACCTATTCTAATATATTCATTTTTGTAACTCCATTTTGTTTGACTGAGCTGCCAACCGTTGTATTACCAAAGAAACAGCAACATGCTTAGTAGGACTGGGTTAAAAAAGTTATTGAGCAATTTGTCTACAACGAAAATTTCGGCCAATTCACCTATATCTCGTTTGTAGTACCAAGTTTTGTTGTGTTTTTCGTTCAATATTCCAACGTAAAATTGAACTACCGAAATTCGAGATCTCAACTTGTGGGAAACAAAAGTTCTATTGAATAAGAAATACACAAATTCATTATAACGACCTCTTGTTTATTTCAAAATATATGGGTAGCCTGCTATGAAAAGAATAGTACCGGATCAAAGCAAGACAAGTGCGGTGAAAGATGCGTTGTGATGAGAAAAATACTGATGAAACGAGTGTACAGTTGGACGGATGCGAAACATTCCAAAAAGAAGGATAAGTATAGTATATCATGCTGAATAGCGAAATATTCCATTCTCTTGCTGCTATCGCGCGGGGTAGAGGGTCAAACAAAGTATATCCACGTGCAGAATGGGTTCGGTAGCTTCCTGACGATATCTTAGGAGAATAACTCTAACTCCAAACCCGGATAGATGGAGCTCGTTTAGTCTTGTAAGGTCATCCATTTAAGATAAGGATACTCGAGCGAAATCTAAGTCCTGAGGACTTCAGTGCCACCGTCCTAGCTTGCTAGGCCCTGACGGATAAACCTTAAGAGTACAGGGTCGGGTTAATTCCGCGCACGCTACGCCTCATCTAGAATCCACTCTGCAGACTGGAAAATTACACCCATATTTGTAACCTTTGCAGCAAGCATGGGTAGAGCCCTTTCCAAATCTTTGCTCGCTAAACCAAAGCATAAAATTGCCGCCATAGAGAAAAGAACTTATTTGTTATGCATATTTGTTTACGTTGGCGTTTTTTAACCAGAATTTCAAAATCATCCCCTTTAATACCAATATAGAACTCATGTTATGATTATTGTTGAACTATATCACAATTGTCTTTTACAGACTGATTGATAACTCTACTTTAAGCCATTTATC